AACTTTTCACAAAAACACAAAAACAATAAAAACCTTTGTTATAAAAAGTTGAATAACATAATATAAAATTAAGATTCCATTTTTGAAATTCGGTTTACAATGTTACATTACAAATATAACAATGAAACTTTAATAAGGACTTTTCAATGTTATGCACACCTTTAATATTTTGATTTATGCCCTCGCAAAATGCCATAAATCCGCCCAGTTGGTAAATGCTTTGAAATATTCATCCTGTTCCATACGTTTACTGCGACGTTATGTCAAAAAGTGGGCAGTTATGGGCAGCTAGAAACGATTTTCTGAGAACTATTTCTTGTTCGTGAAAGAAATTTCAAAATTGCATTACAACTTTCAGTTCACTACAGCGAAACACAAAGAAACATAGGTGTCAACAAAGTATGAAGGAACATAAAACATCGTTCAAATATTAGTCTGTATTTTTAGATAAATTATATTTCATTTTTTTTATACATTGGCCTTACTTTAGGATAATATTATCCTGTGTGGTAAGGACGTTTTACAAACATAAATTTCACGCGGACAACTACCCAGATGCGAAACAACTATCTGTGGGTCACACAACTAGTTGTCCCGTGTGGGAATCGAACCCACGACCCCCGACGCCGAAGCCAATACCTTGGCAACTGCGCCACGGAGTCATCTTTCATTAAATCATGTTCTTTTTATAAGCACCTTCCAATAGAATTTATTTCTTGCTCTATCATTTTAATAAGTCAATTTTGGTATACGATTTGTGTGTGGCGAATACAGAAAGGTTTGTGAAGAAAGGCCTGCTTTAACGCTGACTCCGTAGCTCTTGGTGATGAAAACTTTCTGTTAAGTCTTTCTCCTGAAGGAATAAAAGAAAGTGACACGCCCAAAGACAAGAAGGAAAGCTTTACCACAGTACTGTCGAAGAATATACTTCGTTTTTAGTGACGATTGCGCGGATCCATGTTCGCCCACACAGCTTCGTGTTCAGTGGTTTGTTGTTCACTGCAGTGAAAACTTTATCTAGCTCTTGTTAATCCATACTAATATTATAAATATTATTGATGACTCCGTAGCGCAGTGGCCGAGGTATTGGCTTCGGCGTCAGGGGTCATGGGTTTGTTTCCCACACGGGACAACTATTTGTGTGACCCATAGATAGTTGTTTCGCATTTGGGTGTTTGTCCACCTGAAATTTATGTTTATTAAAAAATGCGAAAGTAACTCTTGTCTATCTGTCTCGCTTTCACTATTTTTAATTGGAAAGAATTGTTGTAAAGAGTTGAAAGGTTAAAGAAAGATATTTATTTAAGGGCTTCAACGCGAGTGAAGCCGAAGGCGAAAAGCTAGTATAACATAGTGTTGACAATGCCTCAATTGAGTGTAAATTTTGTGCCCAAATACCTTGTGTATCTGTAATACACAGGGTATTTGGGTAAAAAATTAAATAAGTTACCGATCAAAATCTTCCCATCATGCTTCAATTTGGAAGGTTCCTAACCTGCAACTTATCTATAACATCATCTGTAATAATGTTGTAAGGCGCCGAGTAGAGAGAATATTTACCAATCATGTCACGCGCCATGCCACGTGGGCTGGATTCACTTCGTGTCGGTAAGTTTATAAGTTTATGCGACAGTCAAAGGGCTACTTGCGTGTTTTTGTATAATCTCGTGAATGAACCAATCTGAAATACGTCCTAAACTTTCAAGCTTCATTCATATTTTATATTTAATAAAACTTTACAGCGGCCACGTACTTCTTATCTTAAAGACATTCCATTCATCAGCGGTACTTTTAAGTCCATTCAATGATTCATCTGGTTTTGGGGAACATTTGAAAGGCAAAACTAAAACCTGTCGTGTCGTGGGACATCCCGTAGGAACCAAGTTCCTTTTGTTTTATATCATGTATGAAATAACTATTTTACATTACTTTGACTTGTGTCTTAATTTCAGTCCATTGTCTATAACAGTTGCAGAGAGCCTAATGGAGGTGGCATCACGCTTTTTCACATGCTAATTCTTTCTAACCAAGTCGCACGTCCCGCAAGTTGTGTTAAAGGACTGGGCTTGAAAAACACGTATAATCTTTTCGAAAGCGTAATCGTAAAATTCGTAACCTCACTTTTAAACATTAATAGACATTTAAGAGCATTGCATGATGTTTCGTAATGTTTATATTAAAGATTGTATTATCAAAGGTTTATTTAAAAAAACGATGCCGTGTTCGACGAGTTCGCTGGTAAATACGCCCGTCACGGATGTCCGCGTGATCTTCGGAACAAGTTGCAGCAACGTGGTAATTTTGTAGCTTTAGCTTTAGTCAGTCCGAAAGCGGCTTTGTCGGGAGCACACGTGGCCCGCGCTTTCGTCGAGACTCGTGGAGAATTCCGATCGTTTCCTGAAATCTCAAAATCCCGCTCAGTGTGATATAAGTGTTTAAAATTGTAGTCACCATAAAGACTACATCGCTGTGCTTCATTTTGTGCACTGTTTTGTGTATTTTGTTTGATAAATATATAATTTGGTGTACGTTAAAAAGAGCAACCCAACTTTCTTGGTTAGTAATTTATACATGTTAGTGTTACATTTTTATTCATTTTTTTATTTGTTAGACAATAATATGTTGATTCAGATATTAAACTTTGTTTGGACATGCCATACTAAAAATATATCGTGATGTCGTAATAGTTTTAACATAAATAAGTTTTTCTTTATTTTCTGAACAATTACTAAAACTTATAATATACATTATATTAAATGAATATATTATATTATAATTTACTTACTTATATGAATTGATCAAATATAACTACCGAGAAACAAACTGTAGACATTGGATACAAATAAATGTAGGTTTGATTTAGAACTAATTCGTAAAAACGGAAAAATCAGAAAACCTGATAATTAAAATGTTATTTTTTTGCCTTTATGCAAATGAACACATTGTTAAATAAAACTAATTCACAGATTTTATTGTATTCACATTTAGCATTTAGCGATTTAATAGAAAAAATGTCATGGCCATATGGTCATAAAAACAAATTGCTTAAAAACATTGTAAATCCTTTTGATACGATGTTGTTAGTACGAGCTTAACATAATATTGATAGACTTGTCCTTTCTCGTACCCTTATCCCACCTAGGTAGTGTCGGCACAAAATATATCTACCCTCCTCGGGAACAAACAGATATGAAACAATTATGTAGTGGGAATCGAACCCACTACCCCCGGCGAAAAAGCCAATAGCTTTGCAACCGCAGCACCGAGTCATCGCTACCGAGTCGATTTTGATAGACGATTTTTTAAATTGCGAAATGGTCAAACCATACGTCATATTGTGGACATCCAAAAATGAAAACAAATATGTAGCATATTACAAACATTTTTTGACGATTCTTTAATGGGTGTTTTTTTTTCTTTTATGATTCTTTTAAAATCAAAGTTCACGGTTGGAAGGAATCATACGAGTAGAGTTAGTACATAACACAATCCTTAATATGTTTATTGCATCAAGGAATGTATATCACATCAATAGTACTCATGCTTTCAGGCGTAGTAACCTCGTAGCTCCTTATCCAGTAGTACTCTTTTTTCCTTCCCACAAAAAAAAATTGCATTCCATATTACTCTGAAACAAAGTGCGTTTTTGTTAGTTACGATTAGTTGAGTTACCCTACTATATATAGTATTATATAGCTTACGATTAGATACTAGCTTCTGGTGTACGAATGTACTATTTATTCTTGAAGTAGTGTCAGCTTCATAGCTTTTGCTTTAAAAATTTACGTCCGATAAGTGAGTATTAGGAGGCTCAGTTGTTGCAACCTCTGGTATTGTAAGTTTCCACATTGTTCATTATGTGAACCACTCGCTGAGTGGCCACAACTTTGAAAAAAAAATTCGGTTTAGCTCGAAGCGCTTAATTTTAAAAGTTATACTTGTTTTCGCGCGTTTGGAAAAATTATGAGAGTAAAATTTTTTACGATGCGTGCACACTGACCCTCAAAAAGCGACATGATGCTTGGTAACCAATTTATAACAACTTTTTGACATTTACCAATAATTCCAAGTTATTTAAATAAACGGTTATTAATTGAATTTAATGTTTTTGCGCTAAAGAACTATAACTCCTTATATACACACATCCTTTTTGTTATTTCGGTACCTACATCCAATCTGAATAGTCAAATAATCCCTAGTAAAAAATGTAGTATTACATAATCTTTCAGATGCTTCTAAGTTTCTCATGTTGATCTTGACACTGGAGTTGATCTGAAACTTTTCTAATATACAGGAAAGTTTCAGATCAACTCCAGTGCCTTACAGAAACTATTTGATTGCAAAAATTTTTAATGTACATTGTTACTTAAACAGACACAGCATACTTTTCGATTGCCTTATATAACTTAACAAATCGTATAGCCAACGGTTTGAGGTTAGAAGGTCAAGTGGCCAAAACATTTATTTCATTGATAGGAGAAACATTTGAGAGCCCCTTATGGTATAATTTTATTGATATTGTTAACCAATCGATAGATATTACAGATATTAGATTTAAAATGTTTTATGATCATACTTGTTTTTACATAACACTCTTCATTTCTTTGATTTTTTACATAATTTTTGCTTGTCCGTTCATTATCTGTAATCTGATCGGATGGGAAATAATATTATGGATGATAAAAAAAAATACATGCAAAATGTTATCTTAAAGAAAGTTTGTTTCTTTACCTGCAGGACGCTAATAAGTAAAGCATTCCATTCGACAAATTAAACTTACTAGAAATTCTGTAAAATACGCATTTGTTTTCAGATAAATTGAATAATGAACAATATAAGAAAATTGGATGACCTAATTTATGCGTGGAGAATGTCATGTCAACCGTATTGAGAGTTTGATGATACATCAAAACTATGAATGGTTTCAACTGTTTAATTAAAAAGATGTTGGAATGTCGCTAATACTAAAAGATTTATGAGGAAATTCAAAAGTAGAATGGATGGACCGTAGGATGGGCGTCAATCAGGCGCTGATGCTTTTAGTTTTGTTTTTGTCTTCTACCTACGCTTTTATAGCCGGAATTGACGGTGAGCTAACACGCAAAATAATTTATTCTTCAACTTTATATGGGTGTTTATACAACACCTCTTAAATGGGTTTCTGTTATTGTTACGGGCGTAACAGCAAAAAGTAAATTCTTGTCTTTGGTCAAATTTATTCTTCTCTGAAATTACTCAATATCATCTAACGTAATACATATGTATATATAGCGAAAGTTCCAGGTCAAGTCCAATTAGTTCTTAATAGATGTCAAGATTGAATAAAAACGAATGTTTAGGAAGGGATAATTGAATTAATTGTAATATAAAAAACTTGCGCAGAAATCTCGCTGTTTTCGCTTATATGATGAATACAGAGCTTATACTAGTAGAAAGATAAATATGAGCCTCTTCCCTGTATCTGCTTCATCAATTATAATTTTTTTTTTAAAAGGGCCATTTTTGTATCAAGAGGCTTTGGAAGATGGCAACACAACCCTCCACTGTGATACTAATGCTGAAATTATAGACGATGAAATTATGTTGCTTGTATGGTACAAAAATGATGAATCGATTTATAGGTAAGAATCGGAATATTATCATTGAAAACAAGAAATCGATAAAATCGAAAAGAGTAATAGTGCAACCACAACTAAATAGAACGTAAATTTATTAAATGTAAAATGTGTAAACGCATCAGCAACCCTATGGGTGTTGCAAATGTCAATGGGCAGCGGTTATCACTTAACATCAGGTGAAACGCCAGCTCACTTGCCACCTTCTCACATAAAAATGTGTCTTATTTTATCTTCAATGTAGTTATTTAATTGCATTTTAATACAACTTTGGTTGCATTTTAGTTATGACGCTCGAAGCGGTACTGAATGGTCCAGCCCTACTTTCAACACAAGTGGAAGACTGGCTGTTGATATACGGAAACGTCCTATATCGTTGTCTCTGTCTAAATTGAGGGAAGATGATCAAGCAGTGTACCATTGCAGAGTCGAGTTTTTGCTCTCTCCGACAAAATATACTGGAGTCAATCTTATTGTTATCGGTATGGACATAACTATGCAGATTTCGAAATACCTATAAATAAATATTTGTAACATATGATAATAAGATTTTATGTTACAAATACAATATTTGAAACATAAAATCTCGTTGAAATCAATTATAAAAGTCAATTTAGATTAGAAAAAAAAAAGTGTATATGCGAATGCTACAAATTGTTAAATAAAAATAATTTACGGATTTTGTTGCGTTTAATATAATTCGAATGCACGCCGTTTCGAACACTCCACAGGGATGGTTTGCCCCTTGACAAGCGTAGACTTGATAAAATAATTTTAAGAATAAAAATAAAATACTGCTTGATTTCAGTGCAACCAAGTATACCCTTCTTCCTGGATGAATTAGGTAATAAAATAGAAAATAAAGTGGGACCCTATTTCGAAGGCGATACCTTGGCGCTTAATTGCCTGGTAATTGGAGGTAAGAACGTAGATATATTAAAACTCTTTAATCAATCAGTCTTGAATTGTACAACAAATTAATATTGCTAATTGTATTTATATGCTTTTTTGTATGCTCTTAAGTCAACTAGTCCATTACAAAATTTGACATTTACCATCAATCCCATTTAATGTATTTTTCAAAAAGCACTGGCACAGGAAATAAAATTTTTAGTTGTTGGAATTACAAAACGTCTATCAATAATAACATAATAACGAAAGGAAATTCGTTCCAACCGAGTGTCCCACGAAGCTCACGCATTTCTTTTTCAAAAAGTTGTTATTTATTGCCATGGTATTATCGTGACGATTCGGTCGTGACGGAAAAATTCTTACACTTTTTTCGAATAGCCCCCATCCGCCAAATCTGTAGCGTGCGATAAGGAACTTCATTCCAATAACCTCTCTTCGATATCTCAATATACATATCCAGACTTACTTACGAATATTAATTATTTATGTAAACTTCGACGTTTCATAAGAGCGCGGAAGCATTTATTTCAATAAAGATATTTTCAATTTTGAATTTGAAATTTTTTAATTTGAATTCATGTATGTAGATCAAGCGAACGAAAAACCTGCAAGGCTAAATTTATTTAATAATTATTTTCTACTTTAGTGGCAATTAATCACAATTGAAATTGAAAATGATGATAAGTGATGACAAAACAAAATTAAGAAAAATATTATAATAAAACAGTTACTTATAATAATTGTACATGTTAATGTATTGTTTTTGTCTTTTATAACTGCAGAAGGTTGAATGGCAGAGAATCTCACGGAAATAAAGCTCGCCTATACACAAGATTTGTGTAAAAGGAAAATCTCGTCTCAATACACTACTGAATTTATGTCAAAGAAATAATAAAAGGAACTTTTCAGGGCGACCCCCACCGCAAATTAGATGGTTTTCTGGTGAAGTTCTTGTCGATGCGACTGGCAATGAAAGCGACATCCCTAATGTGAGGGAGAATGAATTATACTTGCCACTAGCAAGGGATACAGCCGAGAATGTGTCGTGTAAAGCTAGCAACACGCAACTGTCGCCACCAGTGGCCGCATTTGTAAATATTGAATTGTATTGTAAGAAAATCTATTTTTAAATATATTTGCGCTTTAACAATTTATAGTACTTCAATGTTTATATGAGGAACATCGCTAATCTAATCACTGTTCAGTTTTTGAGATTTCATACACATACATTTCAATCAATACGTAGTCAATTTTATTTTTCTCATATTGCGAATTGAACGGCTTTTAACATTTTCCTTTATTTGTTTAGTATCTGCAGATAATGTGTCAATAAATTGGATTCAAGGCATGGAAAATGGTGGTCTTACAGTTGGTAAAACTGCTATCATTCAATGTATAGCTACTGGAGTATACCCTTCACCTGATATAGCATGGTGGTTGAACGACAAACATCTAACGCACTATAGTAATCAGGTTATTAAATTTTCACTAATTGCTCATCAGTATGAATATAATCTTTGCTATTTACAGAATAATTTATAGTTGAAATGTTACTTTTACTCTTCACACCGTAAACTAATTCAAAACAATTCAATTGAAGGCAATAAAATAAGACTATTCACTTCTTCATTCTATCTTAATTTTTTAATGAAACGTCATTGAAATTTATTAGACTTACGATAAATTGACGAAGAGGGCCATTTCGTACTTACAATTAACACCGACGGTGGCGGATGATGGAGCCACGTTGGCATGCATGGCAACGAATCTCGCTGTACCACAAGGAAGAAATTCCAAAGCGGATGTTATTACTTTGAATGTTACATGTTAGTAGGTAGATTTTTTTTTAATTCTCTTCTTCCGTATTTTATATTGATATAACGTACCCGTTAAAAAAAATATGCTTTTTAAATAGGTGTTTATATACTTTTCTTTAAAACTATGATTTAGAATTCATATTCTCTTGCATTTTATACTTCATATATATTCTCCTGCATTTTAGAATTATGATGTGCTTCTATTAAAAATTTCAATCTTGCAGATGTGCCGATCGTAGAAATTTCAGTTAATGGAACCAGCAAATTTACTGTAATCGAAAATGAGACTTTAAATTTATTGTGCGAGGTCAAAGCAAATCCACCCATTGATAGAATCATGTGGTACTTCAATGTAAGAGACTTTAATAAAATGGACAAAACACTTGAGTTTGAACTAGCTGCATTACTTTTTTTCGTTTAAGGGTCTGAAAATGGAAAATAGTGGCGTTGTGGGTTACAATGTTTCCTTAAATATGTTGGTTTTACATGAAATAAGGCGAATGTATTCCGGACAATACTCCTGCGGAGCAGCCAATGCTATTGGCGAAGCTCACGCAGAACCGATCGATATAAATGTTTTTTGTGAGTTTTTAAACTTTTCCATATTTAACTATAATCAGTTAAGTATTGTATTATTTTTATGGTTACAAATATATAAAGATTAAAACTTCTTTACAGTCTTAAGACTATTTATTTTTGTGACAACATTCATCTATAGAGCCCATATGCAGTAGACGCATTTATGGGATTTAGTTTTTTCAGTTTTCAAATTGCTTTCAGATTATTAGGTTCAGTTCATACTGAAGTATTCAAGTCATCACTGTACTGTATTATGATTACTTATTTTACGAATGCTAGAAATTGTTTTTTATTACAGACCCACCAGAATGTAAGGGCAATGGGCTGACACTTAATGAAGAGACATTGAATTGTAACGTCACGGCCATTCCTATTCCAAACAAATATGTATGGTATATGCAGAGCGATTCACAAATTGAAACATATACTACTGAAACGTCATCAATAGCACTTAGTAAAGTCACATTATCACTTGCAAGGACACTCAACGTTTCTTGTAAGGCAGTTAATGACATTGACTCTCAACATAAGCCATGCACGCAAAATTTTAGCTTTAAACATCTTAGGCCCCCACAACTGCAACAATGTGATCTTGCATATGAAAATGTACAGTTCCAAATACGGTGCATTCCAGGTAACACATATATTTAGTCTCATAATTCTCTTCATAAAACTTATAAAAATATTTTGTATCTAAATCTTGGGGGATAGAGGTGCTTTTATCGGAAGTGATCTTTTGTAGTTTAGAGTTGATGGAATTCTTTTTTCCTTTTAGTTGATAATGCCACGCATTACGAAGTGTCTGTTTGGCGGCAATCTATAGGCAACGCGTCTTTGACCCTCGATCAAAAACGTGTCCTGGGTTATGGAGCAAGTCAGGCTCTCGCCGTAAACGCCGCTGAAAGTTTATTTATTAAAGGGGAGTTAGGGTCACTGGGTCGCGAAGATGAGGCTGGTGCGGCAGCTTGTAACCGGTACGGATGCTCCACGGTACTACTCTTGAGGCCTACGGAGAGATTATTGAGCGCGGTCGTAGTACCTTGGTGGAAATGTGAGTTTTGATTTTTTTTATGTGTAAAGTTTGTTGATAACCACCACCTGCGTTGCCACCTTGTAATAACTTGGGCTCCAGTTAGATCACTCACCACAAGAAACGCAGAGGTATAACACATCCACTCCCACCGGTTTTCTGCCCAAAACACGAAAATCTGCCCATTCGTGCAACAGCGAAGGCTGTTGCATGGCCCTACCACTGTGATTATTTTACTTGGCATTAATGAAAACTGAGCTTAAAACTATAATGCCTTTTTTGCTGAAAGCATAAACAAAAACAGAGCTTAGGCTAATGTGATAATTTTAGCGGAATCATTGATGAAAAAGGGGCTCAAAATAATATGATTTTTTTGTAGTTCTTTTAGATAAAACTGTGGGAATTTCTATCGGTGGAGTTCTGCTTGTTATCGTGTTTTTAACGTCCACGGCTCTAGTCGTTTGCGTAGCAAAAAGGTCTTGTGGAAAGCGGCCACCGCCTGTGATACAAGTGCTGAGAATCGACGATATTACCCGAGACATTCTCAATAGCAGTAGAGGTAATATTAATATTTAGTTAGAACAGATTTAGTCTTTGACCTATTACTAGTTAAGTTTAATATTCCATAAGTTTTGTAAAAGTTTTACGAATGAATGTTCATGGTATTGGTTGTTATTTAATGAATTGATCGCATTTACCAATAGAACTGTGGTAGTTCTTAAACATGAACGACCACAAAAGAGGTCTAGACTTGGGACAGCTATTTGTGGATAACGTATACTTAAGCGTACTGGCTGGCTAAACTTTCGGTGAAAAGTAAACGATTGCACCATTCGTGTTAAATAACCGCCAAGTTATAAAAACTGTGTGTATTAACAATCAATTGCATTTTACTTATTTTTATAATTCTTGCAGATTTGAAGGCGCGTTCGTCTTGCACTCTACGGTCACGTAGCAGTGACCGTTTGGACGGAACGGAAGAACTTGACTTAACGAGCTGGCAACACTCGCCTGTGCTTTATGATTTTGAACCCCCGCCTGACGTCACGCTTACTATGCATAGAGAAAGCGCTGTCTAATTAGGAAAGTGATAATGATCGTCTAATTTATTCCACTTCATAAGATCTACAATAAGTTAAATAAATATCTTCGCACAAAAATATGTTTTATTTATTTGGATTCCGAAGTAAGCCTGAGTCTAATTGTAGATGGTATGATTTTAGCTAACGTAAAAATGACACCTATATATAAAAGTAACTATATTTTTTTATATACTGAAATTTTATTGATTTTATATAAAAAAAAACTATTTATTATTGATTGATGTTCGTCAAAAGATTGAATGTAAAAGTATATACTTCCACTTCGTGTCGGTTTTCTGTGAGACTGTGGTACTACCCTGGACAAGCCTCGCGCACGCAATAGCAGAATTTCAGAGGAAACAGGACCTGATTAGAAAGGCCACATTTGCATTCACACATTGGAATCACATTGTCAAGGGTGGACCAAAGCGTACAGAGTTTCCATATAATTATGTACATTATTTATTTTAACGCCGACTTTGGAACATGAACGCAAGTCTAGTGATGTAAAGTTGGCTAAATTAAATGGTAAAAAAATTAAATACAGTATTGCTGTATAAGAACTATTGATAACTATTGAGAACGTTCTAGACCTTCAAGGCCGTACGCGGTAGTGATAAACTTCGATCTAAATGAAAGTTGAAAGGTTTGCGTGTCTATTTTATGTGAAGGTCAAAAGTTCTCCCAAACTTAAGTGTCCAAATACCAGGTGACTTAAAGGAGTTGTTGGTGTCTTAAATTATTTATTTGATGTGGGGACCGTTTTATTCATTTTCCTTATATAATATATAGAAATTAAAATAATTAAAAGTTAGATGTAGATCATGTAAGATACAGAATTACTGTGTGAATTTATAAGAATTTAAATATTGCAATTTTACAAAGGTCATCGAATTCGGATAAAATGTTTTATCAAATATTATGTTTAGAATTTAATTATGTACACATACATCTTTCATTATTATATAATAAGTTATATTTGAAATCTGAATAATAGTTTATTTATCTATTTACCATAAATGGCAGGCTACTTACGTGAGCAAATTAATTAGTCTAGTAGTGAAAATTATTGTTTATGAAAATATATATAATTGTATCTTTTTCATATTTTTGTAAAAAAATGTTTTCTTAACATAAATTTATTAAGATAAGAAAATATTTTGAATACGGAGTATTTGTCAAAACATGTTTATAGGACTTGTCTTACAAGACATGATTGCATATTTCTTCAGGAGGATTTGAATAGATTTTCTAGATACTGTCTAGAAAATAAATTGAACCTAAGTCTACCCAAATGTAAAATGATATCTTTTACAAAAAAGAAAAATTTACTTAATTTCAATTACTTTATTAATGATGTACCCTTAGAAAGGGTTAACTTTATTAGAGATCTTGGTGTGACTCTAGATTCAAAGCTGCACTTTAATATACACATTGATAATATTATTAATAATGCTTTTAGGTTGTTTGGATTTGTTATACGTTCGACCTACGACTTTAAGCGTCCTTCGACTTTCCTACTCTTATACAAAACCTTGGTTCGTTCTCAATTAGAATTTGCTGTTCCAATATGGAATCCCTTGTATGAAAAATACATTTCAAGATGAGATTGTACAAAAGAAATTCTTACGCACTATGCACTTTAAATGTTTTCACGCTAGGCTTTCTTATGTACAATTATTAGAAAAATATGAGTTGTTGAGTTTGGAGTCCAGGCGCACCCTTGCTATGGCTATGCTGTTATATGGTTTATGTAATAATAAATTCGACTGTATGGAGCTTACTAACAGGATTGCTTACATTGTACCAAGAAGAGTTACCATACGCGATGCACGCGTGCCCCGATTGTTCTACACTGAAAAGTGTAGAACAAATGCTGGGCAGCGAGCACCGCTTCGTAGAGTGCTAGATGTATATAATGTGCTATATAACTCTAAATTTATGAATTGTGATTTGTTTTCACTTTCCCAAAATCAATTTAAAAGAATGGTTACGCTAATACTTAAAAAGTAATATGCAAATTAGGCTAAGAACCGACTTACTCTTTTTATTTTATTTAACTTAATATTATTTTGCGGAGATTGGTGTGGGTTATACGTTTAGTTTAATAATTAGAAATTCCATTTCATGTGTAATTGTTAATGTATAACTGTTTTATGTCGCAATAAATTAAAAAAAATAAAATTTTGCCCGATGACGCTAAATGTGTAACAACGTCAAGGACTTGGTTAAAAGTTCGTTAGTGAACAAGTAGCTTCATCATCATCATCATTTCAACCTGTTTGAGTCCACTGATGACCATAAGCTTCCCCCACAGACTGCCACGAAGCCCGATCCTGAGCCACCAGCATCCATCGACTTCCCACACATTTGCACAGGTCGTCACTTCTAGTCGGGGTCGGCATACATTGTGATGGCCAGTACGAGGCTGCCACGAGAAACTTTCTTCCCCAAGTTGCTTACGTGTCCTAAATCGTTGTTTATTTATCAGTTATTTTTTTTTCACCCGGAGAGCAACACTTTTGTATTATAATGTTGAAGGTTAATATATGACGTAGTACAGTTAAATGAATGCATATTAATTTATACAGTATAATTTTATTACTTACCAATAAACTTTTACAGGTTTATTACGGCTCAGTTTACAAGTTTCTTTCTAAAGTCGTGGTAATCGCTAATTAATCGCCATAATACTGTTACTGTTATAATACTGTTGTGGTTTATATACAATACGACTTAATTTACAAGTTAGTAGTGACAGGCGATCAATTGACTTAAGTGGATAGGATGAGTGGCAGTACAGTTTTTGTTTATAGTAATTATTACAACATCGATTTTAATTCGTTTTTATAGTGAGGGTTTTTGTGTTACGGCATAGATCCATAGTTGATTTAATGGATAGGTTCGACCGGGGAAGTGACTCTACCCCTCTGTTTACCAGCGGGCTGTAGAATAATGTTACGAAGAGATTACAGTATCCCTTTGGACCGAGGGCTTGCAAACGAGTTGCCGATCTTTTAATTGGATCTCAATCAGATGACTTCTTTCTACAAAGCCGTTGCACTTTCACGGGCGTGCGCATTCTGGCAAAAACAAATGTCGCTGTCTTGACAATGATATCGAACAGATAATAGCAAACCATTTAACTATTAACCAACAGTTCTCATTTGATTAAGCAAATAACGCTAATTTTATTACAATGATTTAAGAAATACGAGTATTGAAATAATGAATCAAATTTCAAACACAACTAAGTATGAACACAAAGAATCAAAAGTTTTTTTCCTTCAGATTGACGTAACATTTTTTATTTCCACCGTGACAAGTAACTCTTGACCTCTCATTTTCGTATAATCAACCGCGCCTGGTTGTCGGTCGCGAGGTTAACAAGAGCTTTGATTGTGTTTTTTTTTTAGATATGGTGTTGAATCCGTTTGATCTTGCGGGTAGCAGGTACACTATCGAGGCATGAGAAAAATTCTTCAGGCCGTACTCTGACATGTATTACTTAAGCGCTCAAACATTACTCTATTGTCACTGTTTATATGTGTGTTTTATAGATGTTCAAATTATCGTTAACTGTATACAGATGTCACTATTCAATATTCGATACTCCATTGATGGCAGTCATGAATTATCATATGATAGAAAATATTGCAATTATCTTGTAAAGCGACAGGCTCGACATCTCGGAATCTCACGCTACAATTAATATTATTGTTATTTATCATTAGTCGTGTTGTTATAAATAGTAATTTTCACTTTAACTTCAGTGTTTACTTTTTATATCATATGTAAAAATGGACTAGTTAGCATATATACCATATAATATTGTCAATGACACAATAATGATAAAGAAACAAACGGTTCATCAATAGTTTTCCTAGCAAAATGCTTTTCCATTTTTAAAATCAGCTACGCTGTTTTTGAGTTTATCCATTACAAACAATTTTTCAAACTTACATTTTATTATTACAACCAACACTTAAAGTTTATTATTTGTATACATATGTATAAAGTAACATTAAATAAAATTTAATAATGAATCGTTGTAATTAAAAACGTAAACATTTTACGCTTCGATTATGTAAAGTTATTTTTAAGCGAGAATTAATAAATCATCAATGATTCTACAATTTAGTATCGCGGACGATTATGTTATTTCGACATCGTACATAAACGGGTTAAAAATTACATTCGTTTCGTTGCAAACGCGTTTTTAATTTGATATAATTTGTCATTAACACATCGCTACAGCATTGGGTAGCGGATGTTCGTCTTCAAAACAAAAAAACAATGCTTGACAGTATAACGTAAACCTAAACCATTGCGTAGGCGGGTATATTAAATAAGTTTCTTTGGTATTTTTCCTTTTTCAGAGGAGTTGAAATGTCAGTTGTTTTACTTACTCTATTTTATAAAGCTTGAGCAGAAATAGTTTTCGAAGAGACTTTAGACAATAATAATAGACAAAAATGCGTAGGTGTATGAAAGAAAATAATACATGATTGTGAAAAATGTGATTAGAATCATGTATTATGTAATGATTCAAGTAATTCATAGGAAAATTACTTCTACATGCCGTTACAGGACGACATACATGGATATTCTGAAGACAATATATACGAGAAATAAAAAAATGCAATTCGTTCAAAACTGCATATTTATAACATTTATTTATCACTAAGTATGGTAAAACGGTACGGTACTTTTGAAAGAACAACGTTTAGTGAAGAGATTAAATTCAACGGGCGTAGCACTATTAAACAACTCGGGTTATAAAAAAGTCATTGACAGATTATTTAAAATTAAAAACCGGTTAGTGGCTCGGCGCTTTACTTTGAATGCTTTAACACGCGTGTTTGTATCGCGACATCCAGATAAGGCATTGGACTGTAAGTCTTTACGTGATATAAGAAGTATTGATTGTAAAGCGCGATTAAATATATTGAATAAACTAGCGCAGCTGTCTTTGTTACGAGCTTCTGTAGAAGAACCACGATTTGTTGGGAGTATTTTTGAATCTATGCGTTACCCTTTAGATAGCTTTTGTATCTATTCTTTGTGACAGTATTAAAATTGTTTTGTAAACAATAAGCCGCCTGTAGTTTGATATAATACTGTAATATTTATAATAATCAGCATAATCATAAAAATTGTTGTAAACATAATCCTAACTTAAAAGTTTAAGTTAAAGCCCAATATTAATATTTAAACAACTAAACTGAGAAACACATTTCACTACTGTTTTGAATGTGTAAATAAGTGTAAAAATACATATTATGCCATATTAAGTATAGAATTTAACCGGGGAGCTTTTAAGCAGTGCCCGTGAAAGCCTCGCCGGTTAAAAAAGGGGTGACACTCGACACAGACGAGTGGTTACTGTAACCCGATACGGTCATTTACCTCTCAAATGGACCTCTCGTGGCCAGCGCCGCACTTGGGGCGCGTGGTCTCCGCATCCAGGAATTTACTTAGTCACACGTCACCGGAATATGTACAACACGGTAATTACTATATAGACGGAACACTGCGTTTGCACTAAGCCTCCCCTCATCCAGTTTCATATTATCGCCGCCTGAGCCCTTCTTCCTCTATTCGGCTTAAAGGGATTTGTTATAGTTTACCGTGGCATGTAATGAAATTGCCGCTGCACATTGCTTTATTTCTTTTATTATCTGTGAACCATTCAAAATTTTAAACGTTAATTTTAAATTATGTCGTACTTATTATTTTTAACATATGTCGTCATTAACGATAAGCCGGTATGGCATAATGATGAATAATAATTTCATTATTCAAATTATGCAAATGCAAATGGCTTCAATTTTATTTATCGACATATTGACTTGAAATATTATGAGCACCGTTTAAATTCAAAATTAAATCGACAATTATATTCTTTAGAAAAAGCTCTTTTAATTTATTATAGAATTGTTGTCTTTAATTTACTCCGCAAGCACAGTTTTTCTTTTCCACTGTCAGCCAAATTTATATCAGACGCACGAAGACCCGTACTTATTGAAATATTTTCAATTTTTGAATAAATTCAGATTCAATCATTGCTACAAGAAAAAAATCAATCATCTTAACAAAAAAAGTAAAAAAAAGGCGCTCCTTAAAATAGGAAGTGGTGATACTCATTAAGAAACACGTATAGATGTATTCCCGAAATTTCGTTTTAATAATATATTCGATGGTAACAACGGGTGCACGAAATGACCACACGACTCTAACACAGTATACGAAGATTCAAAACTTGTCCGAACAGCTTACACGTCGGTGCACGAGAGTGATAACGGAGCATCAACGCTGAAGGCGAAGAATAATGACCAAGACAATAGTGGTCCTAAAATCTTTTGTGAAGCGGACAAGTATCGAAATGCAATTCCTCCCGATAGCATCTCAGTGAGTAGGTAGGGGCTCATAAATCATAGGACTGTAACGCCCCTAACATTGCACGTCAATAATACAATACTGATGCAGTGAGTAACGAAGCTGTCGTAATGGATTTGGCTAATGGTTCAAAAAATGATCTAAATAGCTCACAATCTACTGCTTTATTGGCTAGATGTTCAAAAGGTGAGACTAGGAACTGTGGTAGACAAGAAAATAAATTCGTGATTATTTTTTTTATAAGACATTCTCGATGAGTCAAAATTTCACTCTTAGCGTTGCAATTGAGGTGGCAATATTTATGAGTGAGGGCCTGATTACTATACTCATAGTAAATACGTAAAAGGACTTTAGAAGAGGAAGAAGAGCTAGCACATTTACTGAACAATAGAGTGATACATAATCTACCATAAACATAAAATGTAAAAACATCAACCGTCGTATTCGGTGGAGATGGCCAGATTTGCAGTGTCATGTCAATCAAACGGACCTAAAACGATTTTATCAATACATTTTATTGAATAACATTATAATAATATTGTTATATTGATTAATTATCTGAGTAAGATGTATAGAATTAGATGCCATTAATCAATAGAATTTCTTACTCTTCGTCAAATTACGGCATACAAAAATTCCGCCGATGTATGGACGGCCACAATTTGTCATTGACAAATGACCTTGCAAAGTTTAGAGATTGCTGGTTTCGTATTAGTCACAGTGTGTGGGTGGCCGGATATATTTTACGACTATATTATATCAATGTGCCAAGAATATTGTTGAAAGAAACTTCAATAACTTTATGGATAGCTATTTAAATAAAAATGTGTCTCAGAAACACTTCTTACGCCAAAGGCTTCGAAAAAACAGGTAAGAAAAAATAAAACCTTGTGGCAGTGTAATTGGCTTACGCCGTGTAATAACATGAACACATGCAATCTCGGTATTCAAATATAAGCGTGCGTGGACATCGTAAAACTCGTTTTTTTGCCGTTGCAGTAATAAGTTATATGTTTTTAATACAGTAGATTCACACAATGACATCATTAACGACCTGATTGGCGTGGGGAGTAGTGAACCTATCTCTTGCCCCAGAGGTGTGGGTTCAATCTCATGAAAAATATTGTGTGAGGAAATTAGTGATTTTTCTGTGTCTTAATATCTATACATGTATGAAATATGTATTTATTTAAAAGAAAAGAAGGGTTTAAATACGTTTATCAGTTTTCTAGTACCAGTTTGAGACTAGAAAACATTGTGTAAAAAATTTGCCGCAAATATTTATTTAATTTTATATTATTATTAACCTGAAAACTTGTCAGTAACCTGGGTTAACTATGATACATGATAACGTAAGTAGTAAATAAAATTTTATATTATATTTAAGACGCAACTGTGAAATGTAAACATAGTTCAGAATTCTATGTCAGACCTAATTTATGTTTGCTAAAATCTGCATAATAACCTCGTCACCATTACCCAATGACCGCGTTAAAAGCGTAAAAAATATTAGATCGTAGATATAAAGAATGTCGAATAATCCAACTCGCTAAATAAGCGGCGACATAGTCTGTTATTTTTGGAGCAAAGTTCCTTGTCGCACATTACTGACACTCGGCGGATGAGAGCTAGAGCGAAATATGTGTAAATGTGTTAATCGTCACGAAGTTCCGACTACCAACCAGTATACAATAGTAATCTTTGCTTCCAACTCCCAACCCCTTTGTATACCTATATTGTGTGTGTGATTGGGTCCATAAAGCGTATACGTGAATTGTGTTATGTACTAATTATACAATTTTGCACTGATGAAGTTTATAATATAGTTAACTCTATAATAATTTTAATTTTAAATTTAATTTATTTTCACAATAAAAACTAAAGAAACTATGTCTCTTTAACATTATGTATTAATTTATTTTTAAAAGTTCATGTTATTTAATAAATAGGGAAATGAACCCCTGAAGGAACTCGTGGTACCTAGTCCCATATAAATTTCATTGGTATATCAATATTAAATGGATATATCCTTGGACTCCGGGGATCATCAGGGAATCCTCAAAAACAAATGGAAAAAGTATAGGTAGTGAGATATTTGAAGTCAGTTTTGTTCTTTCTTCTTGAAAGTCTTACTTGATTTACACGATGGATAGAAACGATAACGTTATTGAAGTTATGAATATGGAGGTAGTTTAACACAGGCTCATGTAAGGGGTCTCTTTTAGAGTCAACGACATTTGAAAATACTTCATTAAGAAACAATACACGTGTTATGTTCCCAAGAAATGGTTTACTATTTTTACGCTTCAAATGTTTGTTTTTTCAAATTTGTTTTTATTTTCATTTAAGAATCACGTAAAACTGTACATATATTAGGTTAACATTAAGTAAACACGTTTGACTGATTTTTAAGTACTTTGTACTTGAGGATTTTATGACTCTACTTTGATAATCACGCCTTAGATGTTGAATCTATATAAACCACTTATTACAAAAATACTTAATATACTTAATATAGGTTGTGAAAAACCTGATTTTATTAATCTCTGAACAAAGGACTGATAAGAGTTTATTTTCTCTTGCTCAATATAAGTCGTTTGCAGCGAAAGTGTAGCGCATTTTATAAAATTTGTTAATCAAGTAATTGAATCTTTAAATGGTAGTCATTAAAATGTTGTATGGCATGCCGATGAAACCAAAAATAAAACAACAACAAGTGCATTGAAATATTAAAATATTACGATATGAAGTGATGTAATAGATCAGTACAAAAATTGCCAAGATTGTAAAGTTTGTTAATCGTTTTTGTGCGCACCTTCGATTGTTCTAACCTGTCTATAAAATTGTTCATGTCGTGAAGCTGTTTTTTTTTAACGGCTCTCGATGTATTAACTTAGAAATCGTTATAAAATATGTTAACCATATGTATACATCTTAACGAGAGTATATATATAACATAACTTCAGTAAGTCTAAAAAAATTGTAAGTATTATATCCTTACATATGAAATTGGAGTTTCATCTGTTTATTCATCTTATTTATATTTACATATGAATTGGAGTTTTAACTGGTCACTTTTATCTTAAATTCCTTGCGTTTGGCTAGGAGGTTCATTTATTTCATATTTAGGATTGTGTATTTGTGTTTGAAATTTAGTGATTCATTTTTGTTTTTGTATTCACGCCATTTGATTTTTCTTTGACATCGGTCTGTTCACAACATGGAAAACTTAAAACATCACGAATAAGACCGTTCGACCGTGGCACCAGCGTTGCAGAAACAGCTCGAAGGATTAATGATGAGCATGGGGAAGCTACTATAAAAGTAAGCATAGTACGTTTTTGGTTCCTACGTTTTTGATTGGAAAATTTTGACGTGTAGTACAAACCTGGGGACGATGGAGAGGGAACAATTAAAGAAGACTGTAGAAGCAGATCCGTCTCAAACCACGTCAGAGTTAGCGTCAGGCTGCGGTGTGAGTGACGAAACAATTTTAATTCACTTGAAAAAATTTGGAAAACATTAAAAGCTCGAGAAATGGGTATTGCATGAATTGATTGAATCGCCTACAAATAGGCATCGAGTGCTGCGTTACATTATTCAAACGTCACAATAACGAGCGAATTTTGAACCGTATTTCCACTTGTGATGGATTCTACCGACTACAATCAGAAACGCTCATCGCAGTGGTTGAACCCAAAAGAACCGGCTAAATCATGTCCCAAGTTAAAGTTAACTCAAAAAAAGTTACTGGTTAGTGAATAGTGGACCAATGCTGGTATCATACACTACAGCTTCTTAAAATCTGGCCAGACGATTACGGCAGATCTGTATTGGAAACAATTGCAATCTATGATGCTATTCAACAAAGAAGACTGTTCAATTGTTCTAGCCCACTGCTGCTTTAGGACCACATTCGACCTTCACCTCTGGCTTCACGACAGACGGACGCTTAATAAGAGGAGCGATTGGAATCTCACCGACATCAACCATACTCCCCAGACTTTGCTCCAATAGATTACCAATTACAGTACAAATACCCTGTATGGTTTTCTAAAAGCTTAATTTATACACTCAGACGTAAATACAAAATATGGATGAGATGGAAAACATACAATTCATTACGTGACTACCAAGAATTTTCTTTACTGCGGAAACGGGTACAGCTTCTCATATCCAAATGTTATACTACTTACATAGAAAACGTTGAATCCTCAATAAAAATAACATAAAATCATTTTGGAAATATACATCGAACCTAAAAGAAAGTAATCCCGGATATCCTCGTGAAATGAAACTAGGTACTGAAACTTCGGATGACCCTAACACCATATCAGAATTGTTTTCACAGTACTTTAAATCTGTATTTGAACCAGCATCTAACGGTGCTTACACTGTTTCGGAAGATGTGGACGAAAATACCAATCAAACCAATCTGAATGATATGTTTATCGCTCAAATTGAAGTTTGTAAAGCCTTAAAAAATATAGATCCGAATAAGGGTGCTGGACCAGACAATATTAGCGCAGTTTTTCTAAAACGAACCCATAAAACAATCTGTATTCCTCTTAGTATAATTTTTAATAAGAGTTTAACATCCGGGAAATTTCCAAGCGTGTGGAAGTTGGCATATATAACACCCATTCATAAAACAGGATCCAAGAAAGATGTTGAAAACTACCGTCCAATATCTATTCTCTCGTCAATTGCCAAAATATTTGAGAAATTAATTCACCACCATGTGTACATGGCCTGTAAGAATAATATTTTAGAGGAGCAACATGGATTTGTGCATGGCAAATCCACTCTTACAAATCTACTCGTATTTTCAAACTTTCTTTTTGATAGTTTAGACCAAAAAACACAGGTAGAAGCTATTTATACTGATTTTAAAAAGGCATTCGATAAAGTTGACCACATGCTTCTCTTAAAAAAATTGTCGTTTAACGGTATCAAAGGTAATTTGCTGCGTTGGTTTGCCTCCTACTTACAAAATCGCAATCAATCAGTAGTTGTTAATG